TCTCTGGACCAAGGCGGCCAACAGTGCCAGCTGTGTCAGCGCGCAGAGGTTTTGAAGACGTAAACTCAACTTGCAGAGACAAATGCTTTGCGGCGCTTTGAGAAATCCATGCTTGAAACTTTCCATGGCGCATCCTGAGCCCTTACAGCTGCATGTGCTTGTTTCGATCTTGCGGCCTTTCCAATGAAGATCCGAAAAGTTGTGCGCTTCGACTGTTGTGCGCAGCTATTATTGGCACATGCCTTACGCTTCGCGTAAGTGCTTTGCGCGAGTTTTGTGACGGTCTTTTCAGCCTAGCAGCAATGGCAGACGACTGCAGGAGGCGGGTTCTGGCTTTTTACGACCGTGTCGGTGTCCTTCCTTGCCGCTCCGTGTGCCGTCTGCCACTAGATTCACGGCTTAATTTTCTGCAGTCGGATTTTTTCTGATCCTGAGGCTGCTCACCCGCAAACGCATGAACAGCTCGCAAACGCATGAACAGTGATTAACAGAAGCAAAGGCAGTTCTTTGGGCATCAAGTGTAGCAAACTCTTTGACTCTGACATCCGCATGCACCCTATGCTTAGTCAGGTGGCATTGTTTCTATGCCGGACAATCTTGCGAACCAAGATGCCGAGTGCTCAGCCTTACCTGTTGTGTGGCCTCCGGGCACAGCCTGCAAGTCCAGGCTAGTTGCCGCGGTTCACAAAGCCTCGTGCATCGGCTAAGTCATACCTTACGGCTGCCGAGCTTCGGCTTGGTGCTGCACGATGTGGCTTTTTGCTTGTCTTTGTCGGGAGGGTTCCGGGCTTGCGATTCCAGCATTTGTTCCGAGGCTCCTGCATGGGCATCCCAGAATTCACGAAAAACCCCGCAAATGCCTCTTTGCACGAGGCTTGACTTCGAGGAGACGACAGGCAAGGGTCCCAATGCCCAACAACGGGCCATTTGTGCCTGATTGTGTAAGCCCATATGCAGCAACACCACGAGTTGCTGCTTTTTGCCCATGATTGATCGGCTCGTCAGCCACGGACTGTACCCATTTCTACTTTTGCCGCAGCTGCAATGGCGCTGTGCAGCTGTCTCATCGCCTTGCATGCTGCGGCTATGATCGGCTGCTTCGTTTGCATTGGTTGCATCGGATGGTGGCATGGTGAGTATTGCGAAGCCATGTAGTTTTGTCGAAGTCCAGAGACATTTTCGGAGCATGGCCTCTCTGCATACTGAACCGTCCTCGTTGGCTGTTTGAGGCGGCACTGCTGCTGTATGGCAGGGACTGGTTGCTCCTGAAGCCCAGGATGGGCCTGTTTGACTTTGCCTCGGAGTTGACTCTCGCATACCACATGCCCCCGTACATTAACAGTTCTTTCAGAGTGAATGTAGCTGCTAGCCCACGCCACTTGCCACTCTTTCAGTCTTGCCCATGTGACTGCCTCACAACATGTGCCGGTCTATCTTAAGTCTCTGCATTTTGCTCTGGCTCCGCTGAATGACATGTCTCGTCGTAAATACGTAAATACGGCCACCTGTCAAGTTGTGCCTTGGCCCGAGTAAAACTGGGCTGCATGTGCAAGATTTAGAGGTTTCCCGCGAGAGACTCCTGCTCTGTGAAGGCCCCGAGCCGACGAGCCCGTTCCATGAAGCAACAACTGGGACAGGAAACCGTACGCCGCAGTTCGGAGACATCAGCATTTTGTCCCCCTGAAGCCTTGTCTTTCTGTCTGTGACTGTGCCCGTTGGTGGAGAGGCCAGGGTACTAGCCCCCGTAGCATCGCATCCACTGTGCAAGCGCTGACAACGCGACAGTACCTTGATGAAAGCCAAAAACGCAGCACTGTAGCAACGAGAGTGGTGAATCGTTGCCTAGCCTTGACCTGAAACGCAGGACGCTCGTCAGTCAGTCTCTGAAGATGTGGCTCTACTGCAGCGCTTCTCGACCATCCGAGAGCATTGTGCTAGACTATGTCACCGCAGATTTTCAGCCATGTGTGCATGCTCGAAGGATGGCATGCCTTGTGTGGAAACAGCTGTAGCAGTCGTGCTTCTACTGGCTACGAGCATTGGTTGGCGCTGGTGTGTGAATAATGTCGATGGTGGAATCTCTGCTGTGCCTCCTGTTGCCACTGCTACTGCTGCTGCCGCTGCTGTTGCCACGCAACTGGACAGCATATCTAGGGGTTGCCTCGGTATCGACCACACGGCACCACACTCCGACTGCGTGCGAGGCCTGCTTGCATCAGAAAATCGCCGTGTCGTCAGTGACGGAATCGCCAATGTCTGCTTGAGTGTGCTGGTTTGTTGGTTTCAGCAATGGGGTGGAAGATCGAAAGCGAACACAACGTTGGCTTCTGCCCATGGTTCACAGGCTGAGTTGCAAGAGGTCAAGTCGACACTTCACGTCGAACCCCGGATTCTATTTTGCGAGGTTCTCGGCGGAAATGGCTAGAGCCACTAGCATGTTCATATCTCTCCTTCATGTTACGGTTGTTGTCGTTCTAGTTGTTGCAGTTGGTGGTGGGGTGGTGGTGGTGGTGGTGGCGGCGGCAGCGGCGTCAGTGGTGGTGATGATGCAATTGAAGTTGTGATGGCTGTTGTGGCAGGGCTAGTCGCTGCAACAGCTCTCCTACAGGAAACAATCCGGAACTACAATATGCCCGGTTGCTCTCAGTCTTCCCGATTTCGAGGAGAGTCGTAGAACGAATAATGGAACTGACTTGAGGCGTAGCTGTTCCATGCTGCTACGCTCTCGTTTGGTTTTCTGCGTGACTCCGCCCAACGCACTTGTCTTGTATGTAGAGCACCGAGATCGTACTCGAACACCAAGTCGGCGAGGTTCAAGAATCAAGACCTGCGGAGGAGACACGACGGCTGAGGCATTGCGGTTGGGAAACTGAACCCTCTGCATTCCGGCAGCGTTGCCGCACAATCTGTGAGCTGACAGGTCATGAGAAGGTAGATGGAAGGATTAGCTTCTGTCTTGGCGCGCATCTGCTGCAGAGGCAGAGGAGTCAAGCATCACGTATGCCGTGCGCGGCATCCCACCGGTGAAGCAGTGTCCAAAATCACACGACTGTCCCTTCCGAGTGTCTCGGCCTGCAATGTGATAGGCTGACAAGCAAAGCTGAGAAATGTGATGTGCAACCGGGTTGTGGATAGTTGCAGGGGTTGAGTTGGCAAGGAGGGGGTCAAGGGGGCTGCTGCTGCAGAGAGCGGTAGGGTAGGGTAGGTAGGACAGGGTTGGGTCAAGTTCGGGCAGGCAAGAAAGGTCAGGGTGGCAGGATAGTGAAGGTCAGGGTTTGGCAGGAAAGGGTTGGGTAGGGCAGGGTAGGGCAGGGTAGGTCAGGGTGGGGTAGGGTGAAGTGAAGAGTAGGGTAGTTGCTTGCGGGTGGTTTAGGGTGGGGTTGTGCGGGGTGGGTGGGTAGGGTAGGTAGGGCAGGGTTTGGTTTTCGACAGAGTGTGTTTTGGGTCAGGCAGAGGGAAGGCAGGAACGAGTCGTTAGGGTATGGGGTGGGTTAAGTAGGGTGGGACAGGGTTGGGAAGGGGAGTTCGGGGCTGGCTGGGGCAGGGAGGGTGGGTAGGTTAGGGTAGGCTAGGGGGTTCGGGTTTGGCAGGCAAGGGTTGGGGGTGAGGCGAGGAATAGGGTAGGTTAGCGTAGGGCAGGATGGGGTCAAGGTAGGTTCGGACAGGAAAAAAGGTTTAGGGTTTGGCAGGAAAGGATTGCAGGGCAGGGTAGGTCAGGGTGGGGTAGGGTTAAGTGAAGAGTATTTTGGGGAGGGTGTGGTGTGGTAGGGTAGCGGAGCGGAGGGTAGGGTAGGGAAGTTGCTTGCGGTGGTAGGGTAGGGTAGGGTAGGTTAGGGTAGGTTAAATTAGGAGGGTTTGGATTGGGTAGGACAGGGTGTGTCAGGGTGGGGAGGGTAGGGTAGTGTGCTTGTGGGTGGTTGGAGTTGTGTAGGTTTTGTGGTAGGGCAGGAAAGGGTTGGTTAGGGTCAGGGGAGGGATAGGGTAGGTGAGGGCAGGTTCGGGCAGGCAGGGGAGGTTCGGGTGATAGGTTTCGGGTTTGGGGTTTAGGGTGCAGGCAAGGATTGGTTAGGGCGAAGAGTAGTTTGGGGTAGGGTGTGGTAGGGTAGGGGAGGGTAGGGTTGGGTAGTTGCTTGGTGGGTTGGAATTTGTAGGTTTTGTGGCGAAGAGTTGGGCCGGTTTTTTCAGGGTAGGGTAGGGCAGGGTTGGGTTCCCGTTGTGTAGGTTTTGCGGGGAAGATTAGGGTAGGGTTGTGCGGCTGCTGTGGGTTGAGTTCGCGCAATGGGGTCAAGGGCAGGCAGGCAGGGGAGGTAATGGTAGGTTAGGGTAGGTTAAATTAGGATTTGACGTAGGTCAGGATGGGGTAGGGTGAAGTTTAGGGTAGGGTAGGGTGTGCGTGCGGGTGGTTGGAGTTGTGTGGAGCATTGGCAGGAAAGGGTTGGGTAGGGGCAGGGCAGGGTTTGGCAGGATCGATTAGGGTAGGGGGGTTAGGGGCCTAAAGGCTAGGGTGGGGCAGGGGGTTGAGTTGGCAGGATAAGTGGTTTGTTAGGGTGGGTTCGGGGTCAATTAGGGTTTGGCAGGAAAGGGTTGGTTAGGGCAGGGTAGGTTAGGGTGAGGTAGGGTAAAGTGGGGTTGTGCGCGTGTGTTGGGTTGGGTGGGTTTTGCAGGGTAGGGGAGGGGAGGGTACGGTACGCCAGGGTCGGTGTAGGGCAGGGTATGGTTCTTCACAGTGGGGTACAGTAGGTTTGGGTAGCAGAAGATGAGATGGGGTTGGGGTTTTGGTGGGTTTTTTTCGGGTGCTGTGGGTGGATGGTTGCTGCAAGAAGTTGCGGTGATGGGGTTCGATAGGTTTTGTGGTCTGGTGCCGGTGGATGCAGTTACGGAGAGAAGGGAGGTGGATGGGGTTTCGGGCTAGGCGGGTTGGACAAGGTAGGTAGGGGTTTATAGGGTAGGGTGGGGCAGGGCAGCAAGGGCAGAGGGTAAGGGTCAGTTAGCAGAATGGG